AGGCACGCCTGGAGAACACACCGCCGGTCACCCAGCGAGCCTCCGTGGTTAGCAGGCTTCTGGCACTTGGCTAAAAACACAACATCTCCGAGAATGTCCAGAGCATTATTGGTTCCCCGAGCATCTCTACGTGCTGCTTTCATAGCTTCACAACATAGAGTGGATTGCCAGGGACCTTTAAAGGCCATCTAGTCCAACCTCCCTGCTGTGGGCAGGGGCATCTTCACCCGGATCCGGTGGCTCCAAGCCCCGTCCCACCTGACCTTGCACTTTTCCAGGGATGGGGTCTCCACCTCCGCTCTGGGTGACCTCCGCCAGCTTCCCTCCGTTACACTGCAGCCGTGCCCCTCCACCCAGGCGTGGCTTCTACTCTGCGCCAGCTAGCCCCAGGCAGAGTCTAGTCCCAGTTACAACCCCGTGATCGCTCCGGTACGACACCTGATGGGTTGCTATAGCTTTGGTGGGAACGGCTCCTGGCAGGCCCAGGCGAGGATGCTTCCGCCACACATCCCATTTCTGTCCAAGCAACGCTTTTTGACAGTGCCACTCACCTCTGGCTGATCCAGATGACCTTTAAGGGCCCTTCCAACACTTAGCATTCTATGATTCCATCTGGAGAGCCGCGCGCTTGCTCCTTCCGAGGGACGCGCGCCTTTTTGCCCTGACCTAGCCTCAGGCCCTCTCACTGCCCAGTGCCACTTCCCTCCTGGCTGCCAGCTGGCCATCAGCGTTTCAACAACTGACCTGGAGCTCACGCAGGGATTTCTGGAACGCCTCGAGATTTTCTGACACCTCCTTTTCTTTGGAGAGCCTCGTGCTTAATTCCTCCTGCAGACACTTCTCTCTCTCATGACTTTGTCGGTTTTCTTCAGTGATCTGCCTCACCTCCTCTATCACCTGCCAAAGGCACGCGAAGGATAAGGAGACTAAGGCATTATTTTCACACCGTTTGGCTGCTGAGGGACCACAGAGCATCTCAGCGAGCACAGACGGAGACTCGCTGCAAACCGGTAGCCACGCCACACTCCTGGCCTTCTCCCTGCTCCAGCCCATTGGCTCCATTCAAGCTTTGGGAGACAACAAGGATCGTGCCTCCTTCGCCTCACGCAGCAGTGTCATTACCTTGGGGTGGCTGCTGCACACTCTACCATCTGAAGAAGCTTGGACGCTACCGGCACTACCGCGCATGGAGCAGGCTGCCGTTCTGCAGCCGCCGACTCGAGCCACTGTGGGCTTCGGAGGCCCAGAGCATCTCCATGCGCTGGTTTCCAAACTCACCTGCTGCTCCGTCGCCACCCCCCCCGCCACTCCCGCGGCTGCTGGAGAACAGACTCGCATCACTTGGGTTTTGAGGGACTCCAGCTACAGCAGAGATCGACACGGGAGAACAATAAACCCTGAGAAGCGACTTCAGCTCTGCTGGGCTGCTCTACCCAACCCTGCAGCCGTCACTGCACAGGGTGTCCCGCTGCCTGTCCTCCCCTCAGGCCATGGCTTCAGCTCATGCACCATTCTCACCGTGCCGCATCGCCAGGCTTCCCTGACACCCCTCCTTGGCCCCTGACGGCTCGCACCCCGCCGGCGCTGCCGTTCATCACATCCCTTCTGCTGCCTACAAGGTGCACGGCGCGACCGCCGGTGCCACGTACAGGGGAGGCTGTCGGCTCCTCGCCACCAAGGCCGACACCACTTCTCACCATCTCCTGCTGCCCTTCCACTGCTGCAGGAGGACTGCAGTCACGGAAGGATGGTATGCATTGGAAAGAACAGACCGCCTGCACCCGGCGGTTGCTCCATCCCACGCTCCCACTGGGATTTCCAACGGCCACCTCCTGTTTTCCTCCCATGCAACAGACGGGGCAGGCTGGGGACAGCTGGGGATGCCACCCCCAGCCTCTCCGCGGGAGATGACAACCATTCCCAACGAGGCCAGCGCTTCACGCTTCTGCATCGCGGCTGGTGCTGGCTCCTCCCGGGGCTGCCACACACGGCGGAGCCTGTGCTAACGTCCGGGGCAGACCCAAAAGTCTCCAGTTGCCCTTTGGCTCCACACTGCTCAAAACCCGTGATTATTTTCCAAACCTGAATTCTAAGAACTCGTAGCTTTTCCTGCCTTTGCTTGACTAGGGATCCTAACACATTTGCACCAGCAAATCTTGGCGTTGCAGTTTCAGAGGGGAGCAGGACCTTCTCGTGCGAAGCACGGCTTCCTCCTGGTGGTCTAGGGTGATGTTCTCCTGCAAAGGGTGCTCTCTGCCTGGAGCAGCATCACCTACTCACCGAGGAGGGTTTGCATGGGTCCCAGACACCACAACTATGATCAGAGAGAGTACAGAGTGCGTTTCTGTATCCCGTTAAACCCGCTGCACTCGCTACGATGCCTACACAAAACCTGTGGATAAGCCTACTACGAACGACAAGCTCAGCACCATGCAGGGTTTGGTGCTCGGGTCTCCGCGGTTCCTTTCCCGACCTCAGGAACGATGTCCTTCCCACACGGCGCCTGCCCGCAGCCCCGGCAGCGGGACGCTCCCCTCCCAGCCCGCTCCCTACCTGCTCCTCG